AAACCCACCTTCAAAATTTTCAATTTTTTTTTTTTTTTTCAGAATTAAGAGACTGAAATCCTTCATTCTCCCAAAAATCCAAACGCCCTGGAAAAGCCCCCGCTTGGATTTTTTTGCGCTCTTTACCCGGCACGGAAAGCGCTCCTAAATCCCTCAGAGCCCGGATATTTAGGCAGAGTTCAGCCCCGATTTTAAGGAGAAATCCACCAAAATGAAGAATGTGTCCGAGGCCAGGCTGGAACAAGTCAGAACCGCGGCAAGGGCGGAACTGGGCGAGTTTTAAGGCCCCTTCCAGCCCAAACCATCCCGTGAGTAACAAAGGGAATAAAGAGCGAGCGCAGACTGCAAACCCCACAACACAGAGCTTTAATATCGCCGGGGCCCCATTAATCCTGAATCCTTTTAGAAAATTACACCCTTGCGCAGGGCAGGGGCAGCTTTAATGATGGTTAATTTGATTTTTTGTGCCCGAACCGGTTCTGCGGGGCTGCAGAGCCCCGGGGTTCGCTGAGTCAGGAGCGCTGCCTCACCAAGGAATAATCAAAGGAGAAGGATTTGGGGTGGGAGCGCGCTGTCCTCACTTCAAAGAGTTTCTGCTCGCTGACATCAGCACAAACCTCGGGTCAGCAGTTCTGGGCACGAGGAGCTCTGCGGTGCTGTAATTAATGACAATTAACGCGTCCCCGCGCTATCAGCAGCTCTGATTTCGCCCAGCGCCGGTGAAAGTTGGAGAACCCCAAAATCCGAGCCCAAGGAGCCGCGCAGTGACCGCGGTTGATCTCGGGGGTGGTCGCCCAAGAGCAGCTCCCGGGGTGGGGAGAAATCCCCAAATTCGCCCAGGGAGGAGATCCCTGGATTTTGTGGAACACGCCCGGGGTGTCTCATCCAAAAAATCCTCCCCGATCCCAATTTCCCGCTGCAGGGGGAGGACAAAACTGCGGCTCCTGCATCAAAGCATCCCTGGGGAGGCGGCGAGGATCTTCTCCAAAAAAATATCTGCCCGGCTCAGGAGAGCTGAGCCTTTTCCGGAGGATTTTTGGTTGAAAAAAAAGGGATTTTTTTTTCTTTTAGCTGGGGGATATTGAGGTTCACCGGGATTTTTTAGTTTCCAAGGCTTCACAGAGCAGCCAAACCCCCTAAATTCAGCAGTGCGACCCAGGAATTCCGCGTTGTGTTCACTTCTAGCTGGGATTAAATCAGATTTTCAATCCTAAAAAGATGCATTTCAATCCCAAAAAGATCCTAAAAAGGATACATTCAGGGAATTAAATGTTGGAGGAGCACAAAAGGGAAAGGGAGCAAAGGGAGGAGGCAGAAGGAAAACATCTCCCACAACAAGTGAGCTGCACTGAGGTATAGAATATATATAAATAGATAAAATAAATATAAATATGAGCTAAAAATAAATATTATTATGATAGGAGTAAATATATACATATATACATATATATATATTTAAATACACATTATAAATAATATAATTATTATACCAGTGTTATATGAATATATGTAAATGATACGCGTTATGTATAAATATTATGCATAAATATTGTGCATAAATATTGTAGGTTTATATACTAATATATGATTATATATATAGAAAAAATATATATATATACAATTATATTTTATATATTATAACATGTATATAAAATATAATATATAAATTAGATATCTATATATAAATAAAAATATATTAAAAAATATACATATCTAAAATGGAAATGCCAGGTTGGCAAAGGCAGCAAATTCAATTCTATAAATGATATAAAATCTGCTCAGAGCACACCTGAATTCCCTGTTTGTTTGTTTTTTTATTTAAATTAACCCCGGTTTTTGGTGTTTGGGTTGAGTTCCTTGAGCTTGCCCCAGGTGGCACTGCACAACCTGCCTCAGTTTCCCCGCAAAGCCCGAGAGTTTTCTTGTCTCAGCCGCCCCAGGGATGATCCCAGGTCATTCCCGGGATAACCCGAGCCGGGAGAAGGGGCCGGAAGGGCTCTCGGCACCATCAGGGATGGGCAAAAATAAAAGGTCGAGCTGTCAAGGCCCGAACGTCTCTGATTTGTGATGTGGGGCCTGAAAATGCTGCGCTGCCTTCCCAAAATTCGTTGGAATTATTCCCAAAATTCTTTGGGTTTATTCCCAATCGGTTTTGGAATTATTTTGGAATTATTCCCGCTGCGTTTTGGAATTATTCCCATTCAGTTCTGGAATTATTCCCATTCAGTTCTGGAATTATTCCCATTCAGTTCTGGAATTATTCCCACTGGGTTCTGGAATTATTCCCACTGGGTTCTGGAATTATTCCCATTCAGTTCTGGAATTATTCCCACTGGGTTCTGGAATTATTCCCATTCAGTTCTGGAATTATTCCCATTCAGTTCTGGAATTATTCCCACTGGGTTCTGGAATTATTCCCATTCAGTTCTGGAATTATTCCCACTGGGTTCTGGAATTATTCCCATTCAGTTCTGGAATTATTCCCATTCAGTTCTGGAATTATTCCCATTCAGTTCTGGAATTATTCCCATTCAGTTCTGGAATTATTCCCACTGGGTTCTGCAATTATTCCCATTCAGTTCTGGAATTATTCCCATTCAGTTCTGGAATTATTCCCACTATGTTTTGGAATTATTCCCACCTGCCTTTGGATCGTTTCCCACCCGGCTCCCATCCAGCAGGATGGATTTACCGGGCCAACCCCACATTTTCCAGGAGGGTTTGGGGCAGGGAAAAGCGGAGCTGTTTGATGGGAGGGAACCTCAGGAATGTCACCGGAGGATGCGGGAGGAGGAGCCGGGGATTTTTGGCCACCTCTGGGGTGTGGCAGCTGCTCCGGGTCACCCCCTGCTCCTCCCGGGGGACAAATCCCGGCCTCTGCTGCCACCATCCCGCCCGAGGGGGCTGAATTCACGGAAATCCAAATACTCGGGGGTTGGAGTATTAATGAAGAGTCCTTAATGAAGTTTTTGTGCTTAATTTAGTGATGTCATCGCCTGCTGTTTGGTATTACTTTCCCGTAATCTGTAATATTTATATTTATTTATTTACACATCGCAGATTGTCCTTGCCCTTGCTATAATAACAGATAAATTTATTTATATATGTAATATTTATAGTTACTTTTTTACACGTTGCAGACTGTCCTTGCCCACAATATATAATATTTATACTTATTTCTTTGCGGCTTGTCCTTGCCTGTAAAATATAATATTTATATTTATTTCTTTCACACCTTGCAGATGTGTCCTTGCCTTCGCCATAATAATAATATATATTATAATATATAATATTTATATTTATTTC